AGACGCATCTCCACCACTCCTTTTCTGTCTCTGTAAAATATTTATAGATGTAGTCTGAGTGGTTGTTTTAGGGTTTGTGATGAAAAGCTTCATTATGACGAGGGTTCGACCCCTGCAGGGGTGGCAGAAAATAAGGTCAGCATGTCTTGACAATCACAGGAGGTCTGAGGTGTCAGCTGACCGTGTCTGCTGAGTGATAGTCTGGATTAAACTTGTGTAATGTTTAACCTTTTGTTTGTTTAGAGATGTGGCACATGGTTTCTCACTGGAAATGCCACAAGAAGTTTAAATGTGGAAGACAAAAAAATAAGAACTCTACAGGTCAGCAGGAGGCCTTGCATGACGGCTGCATCATTCTCGGTTAGAAACGGATTAAAAAAATTAAATAAATAAAAACACAAGAATGCACCAATTGTGAAATTTTAAGCAGATAACAATGTTTAACCTCACTGGTGACTCAGCTAGGGTTAAGATTAGGTTTCTGAAACACATTTTGCTTCTGAAATAATTGCACAGTCAAATGAAATCATTTTAACAAACTCGAAACAACAACCTGTTGCGGTAAGGTGAAGCGGTTTGAGGACTTTATGGACTTATCAAAGGAACAAGTCGCTGCAGTTCTACAAGCCTGAGAGGAGTTGGATGTTCTTTGTGGAATTTAATTAAATCTTGCTTTGTTTTTTTTGTAGTGACTGTATTACTGCATCGCTACTACACTCTGTAGTCCTCTCACTCTCTTTTTTGTTTGTCTCTCATTGTAGTTACTGTCCTTTATATTTTTATTAACAACACAAAATTTAAAACAAATGTTGACGTGGATTCTCTACAAATACAAATATCTGAATATCAGATGTAAAAGACTTCAACCTTTTTCATATGACATAAGAGATAAACTGCTTACAAGTCCGTTACTCATCTAAAGTGGGGGTTTGAGTTACTAAAACACACAGTATACTTTTGTTTATCAAATGGCCAAAAATAACAGGCCAATACTGTTATCGACCGAGGAACAGTTTTATGGCCAGGTGAGGCCAGTTCTTTCGTAATGAAGCCTCATTGAGGTCTGAAGTGGTTTTGTTGCATTTGCATTTGGTTGCTGTTCTCTTGAAATCTAAATATGAGGGTCAACAGACGTGTCAATCTAAGCGAAGGAAGCCATCATTAGTTTCAGAAAACAAAATATTGTATTCTAAGTGTCGTCCAGACACATGCACCTGACTGGATGTGAGAGACCCATTCTGAGCTAGAAATGGACACCAAACTGATGGAGCACAACAAACAAACATCAGTTGCTGCAGTTTTTGAATGCCGTCTTATTTGCTGAATAAACTGATGGGAGTTGAAGCCAATATCTGCCAATAAAAATGGTGCATCCCTGTAAAAAAAAAAAAAAAAAAAAAAAAAATCCTAAATAAATAAATTTGAAGACTTTGTGTTTTCACAGTTAACTGCTAAGTGAAAGTGGGTAAGCCACACCACATATGCCAGATTTAAACAGAGGCAAGCTGACATTTTAATTTATCAGGTATATTTAAAAAGAAGAAGAAGAAGAAGAAGAAGCTAAACACCGGACATTAGCTCTTTAACCTCGTCACATCACACTGTACAGTCAGGAAAACAGACAACTTGACAAACGACTACGATAGCGTCAGTGCTCCTGTGAGGCAGGAGTTTGGATTTTGCCAGTTTGCATAATTAGATGTGTCTATTTAACAGCAGCCACATGTTGACACATTAATGTTTACACAGAATGCTTCTCTCTTTTTTTCGTTTTTCTTTTTAGAAACCAGAGGAGCATAAAAACACAGAGAAGCAGCACACGTAATTGTACAATTTGACATAACTTACAGTCTCAACACAAGTTGAGTTTCCTCTTGTTTTATATGATGTCTCACACAAACACACACACAAGCCCATTCAGCTATCTTAGTGAGGACCTTCATTGACATAATGGTCTCCTTAGCCCCTTACCCTAACCATTAAAAATAAATGCCTAACCCTAAAAAAACCAAACAAAAAAACCAAACAAAAAAAAACAACAAGGTTCTATTAGTGTAAGAAATAAGGTTTATAATTATTTTTTTAGTCAAAATATTAAAATAATTATATAAAAAAATATTATATTGATATCGGATGGTTTAGACAGGTTCCCCTTCCACTGAGACTGCATGTATATTATAGAGTGTGTAAATAAAGTGTTACTTATAAAACTAACAGAAAATTGTGTGGATATTGATAAATACTAAAAAGTGAATGACCTCACAATTGATTTAACAGCACAAAATAAAGCACAAAAACTAAAAGACTCAGTGTTCTGTGGAGGCTAAATCCACTCCAAATCAAATCAAATCAAATCACTTTTTATTGTCACATCACATGTGCAGGCACACTGGCACAGCACATGCGAGTGAAATTCTTGTGTGCGAGCCCCACAAGCAACAGAGATGTGCAAACACAACAACACAAACGAGCAAAATACAAGAATGGCCAACCTGAAACTAATAAATATATGTACAATATATAATAGTGTATGCATTTCTGGATGTGTATACTAAATATTTTCCTACGTGTGTGTGTGTGTGTGTGTGTGTGTGTATACACATTTTTACAAATTAAATAGTAAAAAAATAAAATAAAATAATAATAATAATAATAATAATAAAATATATAAAATATACAGAGTTGAATATGTGCAAAACAAGTGGCATTTATATACAGTGTGGAGTGCATAATGTTGAAGGGTTAGTGGGACCTGTCTACCTTTTTGATTTTAATATCATGTTTTTAGCTGATATTTTAATAGATACCACTCTTTCTGTTAGCTCAAAAGCTGAATATCTCCACAATAGCTTAATACATGGATCAATTAGTCAGAAGGGCTCGACTACAGTACAACGCCAAAGATGACCGTCGGAGGAAGGAGAAGAGGAGCAGAAAAGCTTAACAGGAACTTTAAAGGAGAGTCTGGATGATCCAGCAGCCCCAAACTTTCTCTACACCTAACCATAACCTAGTTGTAACCCTGACACTAAAACCACATTTTGAGCCTCAAAAAGGCCTTCAAATTTGGTGTGTGTCCTCACAAGTGACTGTTGGTTCTCACAAGTATAGTAGAATGCAGATTTCGGTCCTCACAAAGATAGCTAGACAGAAACACACACACGCATGCACGCACAGCTGGCCAGTGAAAAACATCAGTGAGACAGGCAGGAAGCAGCAGACTGATGGAGAGGGACAGAATACATTTTTAAAACTCAGATAACGGCATTCAGGACGTACAAAACAGGGCGTTTTCTTTAATATGGAGAAAACACGTTAATACATTGTATGAGATACTGAAATTTGCTTGTTGCTCAATACCATTAGGTGTGATAAGTGATTTTCATTTGACATCTGAAGCTCTCTGGTTTCACGCCTGACTGAACGTGTGAACGTTTATCCGTTCAAAGACTACGGAGAAAAAATATTTTCAATCACAAACCCATTTATCCTCCTGCGCCTTTTTCACTGTTCACCAGTTTGACTTCTATTTCTGTACAGATGAAGACACTCCTTACTTATCATAGTAACTGCACAGCAGTAGGCGAGCTAACCCATTTTTCTTCACAGTGGAGAAGTAGCGGTTCAGGTAAAAGGCTGCATGTATGTTTTCATCTGTGTAAATTGCTTATCTTTCAGCTTTAAAATCAGGTTAAAAAATATTTGAGGCAATTGTACTCAAAGGTAAACCTCACTCTTTGACAGACAAACCATTAAATAGCAGAATAGTTTTTTTTTCACTTCATAAAACACCATATAACAATTGTTATTTCACTTCCCTGACACTTCAAGAACAGTTAAAAAAAACAAACAAAAAACAAATACAACTGGAACGATGTTAAATACACATAACCGTGTAAAATACAGAAGCAAAAAAACAAAGACAACATTTTTTTTAATCACACACTATAAAAATAAGTTATTGAAGGAGTGGGTGTGATGTAGCCACAAAGGCCTTCAGCAGAGTTTCACATATTTGCTACTTTGCCTGATGACCTGAATACACAACACAACGCAGTGTGTGAGGTTAACCATAAAACTTCCTCATCTCGTTGGTCACTTTATCTGCAACAGGCTGCACAGACCAAAAATAAAGACATGGAGGCCTGCTCAGAAATACGTCACAAACGTGAACTCTGCCAAAGTGCAGTTTAGCAAATGATCTAACACGTCTGCAGGGCTGGAGCTGAACGATGAGGGCCGGGGAGGACAAAGACTACGATTTGAGAAAGAGTGCAGTTACTCACTGTGTCATCACCCGCTTCAGCCTGAAATCAAACACGTATCAAAGTCATATCCATGAAATAGGGAACGTTATATTACCTCGTCACATACCTACACAGCACACCACACACTAGTTCACGGCTACACACACGTGCCTAGTAGCTAGAGAAAAAACAAAGCTATTCAGTAGTTAAGCCACTTTTGGTACAATTGCAAAATAGAGAGATACTGTATATCAAACAGATTTTGTTATACTTTTTTTTTGTTTTGTTTTTTTATACATGTCATTACAAACGATGCAAAGATAATTGTCTTTATAAAAATCCAGACTCCACCATACATAGACAAAGATTCTTTAAGTATAGAACACCACGTAAGACTACTTTTTATGGTAAAGCCCGCGTGAAATATGTGAAATTCAGAGAAATGTTTGTCACCCATGCCCGCTGACTGCACTGTCAGAAATCACAGTTGCAGTTTGCAGTTGTAAGTTTTGCGGGTAAAAACAAGAAAAGAAAAGTGCAACCCAAATTGCTCTGATATGAGGCAAAGGTTTTCCTGCAGGTGTTGTAACCTACAGCAGACTTTGTTTATAACAGACAAATGTATTTTATGCAAAAAAAAACCAAAACAAGACCAAAAAAAAGAAAAGAAAAAAAAAAAAGCAAGAATAAAATTCAGGCTCTTTTTTTTTTTTGTTGCTAATCTCCCTTTTTCTTTTCACTTAAAGAGGACCTATTGTGCTTTTCCTTTCTTTCTACATATGTATACATTATCATGGACAAATAACAAATAGAAAAAAAAACAACCTGTGAGTGAAACGCACAGACGAGAAGGCTCAGCTTTAGACTGTTTTTCTACTTCTGGCCCAGTATGATGTCAGTGAGAGCAGATTCCCCTGGTAATTTCAGGGACATAGTTTGGACTGTGAGTACAGACAAAGATCTTCTATTTAGGATTAGCAGCCAATCAGAATACAGCCTAAATGAAAAGGGAATGGAGCTATAACTGAACTGAAGGGCTGCATAAAAGGACCAGTATCAGATAAACAAGCATTATTTCAACTCTGAATCATGCAAAGCCACTCTATGAAACCATGTTTTGAATGTTCTCAACTCATTGTCAATCCTTCTGCTTACCAGAAGGTTGCCTTAAAAGGGTGAAGAGCTAAAGCAGCTCATGTCAGACACAGAAATGACCTGAAGGGCTGCATCAAAGACTAGTGTTGAATAAATAGGGATCATTTTGCACTGAGACTTATGCAAAGCTTCTCTAGAGTCCAAGAATAAAAATATAGAGATGCAAACAAGCAGAATAGGTCCACTTTAAACAAATGACTTGCCAAGGTACATAACTGTTAATAATCATCATCGTCCTTACGTGCTATTACACAGCTTAAATAACAGTGTACGGGAAGAGTTCAATGCTGTCACTAGCTGACTCCTGATTGGTCAGTTTATGCTATAAAGCACAAGCATACACAACACATCTACACTGAATCTCCACCATCCTTCCACAAGTTATCATATTATTTGTTCATCAGTTATCCTTTTGACTTCTTCTCTATGCATATCACTAGGAGGAAAAGGCACTTGCCCTTCCAAATGTCTTGAATAATCAACTTTGAAGCAAAACTCAAAGAGGCTTTTATCTTCATATGACCATTTCCCTGAAAATTCCCACACTAAAATAAGGTCAGCGAATTAAATAACGTCATCTCCTTTTCCTATAATATGTTTTGGTAAATATTAATTGCCTCCTTTTCCCCTCCTCCTTTCATAAAATTCAGGAAGTACTGCATGTAATAATGGAAGCCAGTTGGAGTTGAAAAATCGAAGGACAGAGAAAAGAGTAGGTAAGAGAACGCGAGAGTGTGACTTGAAAGTAAAAAGACCATAAGAAAAACAAAGTAAAAATACAGCTACCCAAATATAGCAATACCAAAACGAACACGCGCCACAGAATTTCACAGAATTCCTGATATATAACAATTCACACACAGAGAATACACCTTGGACCTCATGTGAATGACAACACAGTACAAAACAGTAGAAATACAGTTACCACCATTGTATAATATATATATCTTCTATAGTACTTTTCTGAAAAAAGTTCTTGGCTAGGTGGAACAAGATGGGGCCTCTCTGCAGCCACTCAAATCAGCAGGTCACATTAAATTCAATGATTTCCATAGAACTAATCAAGAATAAATGCTCTGATTCTCATGTGTGTTTAGGATTGTTTGATGATGTACCAAATTTCAATTTTATACATTTTATTTCGATCAGGCACCTCTTCAAATCTGTGTGCAAATTCGTGACATGGTTATTATGTACTTAAAAAGAGATTCACCAGCACTGAGCACCGAAAACCAAATAAAAACTGTTGGAATTTTCTCATTTTGAGTATTTACAAATGTCAGATTATTTTCTTGATCAGGAATAAGACAGTTTTCATATTATTTGGGATTTCCGGGTCTTCAGTGCCCATAGGAACCCTGTGTATTTGTCCTGCATTGGTACAAGAGTTCTCCTCCGCTTCCATCCTTTCCTTCATCTGCACTGATCAGAAGTGATAACGTGACAGGAGCGTGCCGTGACGATGCAAGCGAGGCCGCCCGGCTGTTTGTCTGTCAGTGCAGATGGAGGAGGAGTCCGGCAGAGGGGAAGATTGACTCAGATGCAGCTAAGCTCCATCCTGATGCACCTTCATCTCCCTTCCCTTCCCTCAAGACCGTGCGTCTGTTTTTGACTTCACTATTGTAATCACGCTCGTCGCCGTCGCCACCTTCCCTGGGATGAGCGGACCGATGACCGATGACGCCACCCCTCCCCCTCCCCCTCCAGCCCTGACCCCGACCCCGACAGTGGGGCTTCGTGCCACAGTCCTGGCGAAGGTCTGTAACGCCTCGTACTTAGACCTCAGAGCGTCCAGCTCAACGCGCATCGAAGCATTCTCATTGGCCAGTTTGTCCACCTCCTGCTGCAGCTGAGCCTTCTGCTTCTCCAACTCCTCCTTCTGGGTGACACGCTTCACCCGGCAGCTGGCGGCGTAGCCACGATTCTTCAGGGTGCGCCGCCGCTGTTTCAGTTGCAGAATCTCTTCTTTGGTGAGCCCTCGGAGGTGCTGGTTCAGCTCCCGCACCGACATGGTCACCAGCTCCTCGTCTGTGAGGCTGGTGCCATTCTCGCCCGGCTCACGCTTCACCTGCAGGACACAGGAAAAAGAGAGAAGTGAGAGAGAGAAAGCAGCAATGAGTTGACTGTAAAAAGCCCCGCCTGACACCTTTAAGACCTCATATTATCTGTTACTGCCAGGAAATGTTTATGTGGCCTGAACATTCAGACCTGTATCAGACTCTCCAGTGGCCACGTGTCACCCTGCCAACCCAGAAAACCGAGATTTAGAAGAAGTGGCAGCTGTTGTGCTTTAAGCCAAACCATGACCTTTCTCTAAACTTAATTACCATTAAAGGTGGCTTGGTTAACAACATATTGAAAATAATTCACGTGTTAAATCTGTGACATGATTTAACCATCCACATTTCAAACAGTGGTTTGTGGTTTACCGATTTCTAAATCCTGAAGAACCCAAGCTTAACCCCAACAAACTCTGGCCCTTGGAGTTTTTTATTAAATTGTTATCCTAAGTGTTGACAATCAGGGAACAAAGAAAATAATCATCCTACCATGCACTGTTTTGCTTTCTCCAAACTACTGGGTTAGGGTTACCACATATGATGACTCAGGCCTCAGTTAAGAGGCGAAGTCATTCCCTCCACCACCAAACCCTCAAGCCTGCAAATGTAGACTTTGTCATGCTTTAAAACGGGAAAATATTTCTAGTACAAAAACACAAATGAGTACATGTAGCACTGGAAAGATTTAATAAACAAAAAAACAAAAACCCCTTCATTACTGCATGAATTCAGAGTTAAACTTTGATTTAATCATCACAGTTTGGATTCCTCCATCAGCTGATGCAAAGGTCAGCAGATGACTGTGGTGAATGGCAACAGACATAAATGGACCCAGATCACCCTCTGCACCACGTCCTGGACAAGCAGCAGAGAACTTCGTGTGTGTGTGTGAGAGAGACTATGTATTCCTATCTTTGTGGGGACCAAAAATGAGAAGTTCACTATACCAGCAGCCCTTATGGGGACCAGAATCCTGGTCCCCATAAGTTTGAAGGCATTTTTGAGACTCAAAATGTTTTTTAGTGAGAGCTAGTAAGGATTAGTAAGGGTTAGGGACTCATTTTTGATGGTTAGGGTTAGGGTGAGAGGCTAGGGAAAGCATTATGTCAATTCGATGTCCCCACCAGATATGAATACCACACGTGTGTGTTTCTTTTCAAGCTCCTTATTCAATTACATTTAGATGTTTAATTATTTTGTCACAGGTTGTGTTTAATGGTTTTAGTCATTTTATTTTGGATAAATTCAAAGAAGAGTTTTTAGAAGTAGTATAGGAGGTCCCTCTCCCATGTAACCAGCTCCCAGATCCCAGGACTGGATCAGGTGATCCTGAACCATCCCTTAGTTATGCCGTGAGAGTCAGGCTGCTGGGGGGACTTCCCAGCATTGAGCATGTTTTTCATGCCTCGTGTGTTTATCCCGCTACAACATGTGAATGATGTTTTTCTTCTCTACTCTGTAGTTTGTGTTTTGTTCTCCTTGTCTGTGATATCTCTGCGCTCTCTTTTTGTCTCTTCTTTTCCCTCCTCACCTTCCCATCTGCTTATTTAAATTCAAGTTCATTTACATAATCCTTTAAAATGACTGCCCAGAGGCATTTCAAAAAGCCCAGAGGTGTGCCTTCCTTCTAGCATCATTTTGGCTTCAGATGGGCATTTTTTAAATTCTGCGGTCCTCTGAGAAAGTTTTCTTTTCTCATTTGATCTTTGACCTCAAACTGTACTGAGTTTGGGGTAGGTAATCACTAAAGGAGAAGCATAAGAAGACAAAATTGTCCATTAGGCATAGGGGTATTGATTTTGATGCTTTCCTTTTTTCTCTGCTTCCCCTCACCCAATCTCAGCAGATAACGGCCCCTCCTTGAGCTTTGTTCTGCCACAGTCAACTTCCTGTTAAAAGTCGTTCTTCCTCTCTGCCATCACCACCTCATATGGGATTGTCTCTCTAATATCTTGGGGTTTTTCCCTTACAATATAAATGGCATTGTGAATAAATATGAAATGAGTATTTACTGGTGTATCAGCATCCCTTAGTTATGCCGTCATAGGTTCAGGCTGCTGGGGACTTCCCGTGACCTGAGCACTTCTTCCCACTGCCATGCATTTATATGCCACTGCTGCATATCATTATCTTTAATCTACTACTTTGTGTTTTTCCCGTATGTTGTTATGGGCTCTGTGTCCTTTTCTTTTTTCTCTTCTCTTTCCGCTCATTCTCCGACCTTTAAGGGCAGATGTCTACTCCTTTCTGGGCCTGGTTCTGCTAGAGGTCTCCCGTTAAAAGTTTTCTCTTCCCAAAGTTCCTGCTGTTAGTGGACCATCTGATTGTTTCATTTCTCTAGAATATTGTAGGGTTTTTAACTTACCCAACAGCTTACCCTGTATAACTAAAATAAAATTGAAACATGCACCTGCTTACCTTCAAGGCTTTATTTCCTTTGTTAGTCGTCGTCATGCCACAAGAGCCTTGCTCTTCTGAATGAACCTGTGGAGATGCAGGAGAGCACAAAACATAAGCAGAGAAACATCACAGAAAAAAAACATTAAAATAAACTGTGTTTAAGGACACCCTCTCTTCTAACAGTCAATTTAAAAAAAAATTGCAAACCAATACCTACCAAGAGGAGTGGAGACATGGTAAATCTATATCTACTATGTTGTGGGAGCATGTTCCACTGTTGTATCGGGGTGAGATTGTATGAGTGAAAGTGACAGAAACTTTTCTTAGAATTTTCCTGACTTCCTGTTTCCTTGTGGTTACACTGACATTGCCCACTACCTTTGTGTTGTTGCGCTCTTATTGGCTGGCTTTCTGCCAATAGGAATGAAATGAGTGTGAGTGAAGAGGAAGTGGTAAAAACTGTGGGAAGGACTCCAGGGGAAAACCAACTGTTAGAACGTCCACACAAACACACACGCACACACACACACACACGCACGCACACACACATTCTCCGTACCAAAGATGAGCAGAAAACAGATATAGACCTACACCTACTGGGGATAAAAATGAAATCATTGATGCCTTTGCACCAAAGTGGAAACGAGACAAAAAAGAATGGAGATACAAATGTGTGAATCAGAAGTCAACAAAGACCGAGCGTGGAAACGCAAAGGATGAGATCAGCCCTTAGAGCGCACGGCTCCATGATGAGCATCTCCGCAAGCTCTCAATGAGAATCTTTGTTTGGTGACCTGTGTGTTTGTGTGTGTTCATAAAGGGCGGCTATTGTAGCTGGTGCTGAGCGATCATCATGAGACCAGTCATGACGACGCAGCAGATTCCGGATCTCACTCCCTCCCTTCTCTCCTGCAACACAAATTTCTGCTCTCCTCTCTTGACTTTTTGTTCTTCCCCTCTTCCCTTTAAGGGGAGGACAATACAAGATATGGTTGTCAATCACGAGTCATTAGCCAATGAGCATGCAGCATCCCTCAGATTCAGAGTCAAATCAAGCCCGAAGTCATCATATCCATTTTAAAAACAGAGACAGCAATGGCAATAATTCTCAGATTAAAGCCTCACAAGGGGACCTTACAAAGCAATGGACGATGTAAAAATTTACATCAGTCTTAAAGCCCCCAAATCACACACACACACACACACACACACACAAAAAAAAAAAAATCAAACAAACCTCAAAGTGTCACAATCCAGAAAGGTTTCTTTATTAACGTTGAGCATTATTGTCACGGGATATATCACAGATGAATGCTGCCTTTCATTTACCTCAGAAGTCGTTGTTGTAGAAGTTGGAATTTTAGGTCTATGATGTAGGAGAGCAGCCGAAAGAAGAAGACAACGTAGAATAACAGAAACAAGAACTGGTACCCTGGATGACTCAGAAAGAATCCAAGATAAAAGATTAGCCTTGTAACAAAGGAGACCTTTCATATTTTGACCAGCCACCTATCCCATCATATGGTGTTATAAGTTGAAAGTTTACCCTAAGATGTACTTTTTGAAGAAGTTTTCTCCAGTGAATTATCAGAAAACAGATCAAAGATCCAGGGTCTATGATATATCCCCTGCTATTGATGCTTAAAGTTATAGAAAAAAATGTTTTCATTTAGACTAGAATCATTTGGAGTGGTTATAAAATGGATTTGGTTGCAGTTTTCAACAACGCTTAAATGTGTTTTTCAGTCCTGTCTTATGTGGTTATGTACTCTTAGTTATGAGGGCTCAAATATGCTGGAAAACAAAACAGCTTTAGATCCACCCCTATGCACTCTGAGGGCCTGTAACTCAAACGTAACAGTTTCACAGTATGGTGGTTTGCATCATTTCATTATAATAAAGCTATTCTGAGGGGGTCAGGTGGAAACTTTTCTCACTGGACTAATTTCTACGAAGGCGTTATCACACCTTTCTTAGGTGTGATGACATTTAAATGATACCGGGCAACACGACTCTTTCCATTTTTTCTATCAAAAGACACCAAATGTGTTAGTGAGCCTCCCTCACAACGCATCACTGCCTGCCTGTCTGTTTGTGAGGGGGCTTCAGTGTTTGTGCATGCACTGCCACAAATCCTACAGATATAAATAGCTGCAGATCAAAGAAAAACATACAAATAATTATGCATGCACACACACACACAAAAAAACATGTCAAATGCACAGCAAGTTAAAAAAAAACAAAAAAACAGTTTAAAACTCAAGGAAGTGGTGAAGAGTGAAAAACAACAACAACAAAAAACGCGCAATAACATGCGAGGCTTAATCCGATGGAGAAATGGCACAGCTTCATTTAAAGCATTTGACTTCAGCACTTAAGGTTCTTCTTAATGAGTTACGATCAGTCAGTTAAACACAATCTTTTATTAAAGAGCTTCTTCTTGAGAGCTGAATGTGCCGCTGCACTCTTCTGTTTTTTTAGGATGCAGCCTCCCACAGCTGAGGTGCACGCTCGCACAAAAGATGAATCAAAGACATGAAGACTGAGGTTAGCTGCTGGGGGTTGGGTTGATGCAAACAGAGGGGGCATAAAGGGGGCTGTTTCCCTGACAGGCACTGGTTTATTTCCCTTGTGCCCAAACCCCCCCATCCTCCATCTACATAGAAACAAAAAGCATGCTGCCAAACACACACACACACACACACACACACACACACACACACACACACACACACACACAACCCTGCTGCTATGCCAGCGGGGCACAATAAAACACACATGCAAAATGGTTGACTGCGAGTACACAAGTGTTTTAAACAATGTCGTACTCGCATACTGCAGAGGTTTGATACCACATTTAACGTCGTAATTAAAAGCACTTTAAAAGGCACTTTAGATGTTTATATACGCAACATAAAAGGTTGGCATGGTGGTGCAGTGGTTAGCACCATCAAGTCACAGTAAGAAGGTTCCTTGTTTGAATCTTTAGGGCAGCTGGAGTGTTTCTGTGTGGAGTGTACTGGCATCCTCCCACAATTCAAAGCAGTTAGGTTAACTGGTGATCCTGTGTTGGCTATAAATTTGTGGCTCATAGACATTTATAAATCAGTTTTCCACTTTATAAATGCCAATTAATTTCCAAAAAGGTGCCAGGTCTATTCTTGAATCATTCTGCTCTATCACAACACCACCGAATGTAATCAGATTTATAAACCGTAACCAAACACTGAGGAATTACAAGCAGTGTCAAAAGACACAGTATAAACCCCCAGAACTTCATCACTTTACTTTTTTTAATGTTTTTTTTTTGTTTGTTTGTTTGTTTTAACATTCTGTTTACACCTGGAAAAAAAAGTGTGTAAAACTGCAAAACCACTAGAAAAAAACAGTGATAAAAATTTTGGGTGCAGCGCTCAGCATTAATTAATTGGCTCTTTGAGGGTGACTGCATACATAAGCATAATTTATCTGCAAACAGGTAAATCAGAGTCTGCGTTACCTTGTGTCACCTTTACAGAAGCAACACAAAACAAAAACCTGTATGTCCTAATCCATCATGGTTAGACAACAACAACAAATTTCAAAAAACTGACTAAGACCAGAGGATAAAACTGCAACAAACTGTGTCTTTTTGGGGCATCTGTAAGTCACCCAGGTTGAGGATCATCTGCTGAGCAAAGGCATCGCCATTCATCTTGGGTGGACACACAAACACAAAGGGCCAGAGGTGTCCTTCCCATCATGCTTGTTAGGTGATCGCTGCGGTGTGGTCAATGCCACAGCCACTGTTGCTACAACAGAGCTTTTTTTTTTTTTTTTTTGCTGTGGCAGGCTGTATTTTTATGGAGCAACTGAAAGAACGCTGACGACTCAAGAGCAGAGCTGCTTACGGTTACAGCAGAGAGACAACACACACAAACACGGAGGACGGGATGTGAGGACAGGGATGGCAGAAGAGCTGAGAAGTGGTGAAGATGAGTAGAATATGGTTGGAAGGCAAAAAAAAAAAAAAGATGAGAAAGTCAGGAGGGAGAAAAAAGATAGCAAGGTGAAGACAGAAAAGAAGAGGAGGAGGAAGAGGAGAGGGGCGCTGGTGGTGAAGGAGGACTGAAAGAATGCTGACGTCTCCAGAGCTGATTAGCGTTACACAGAGACATCACACCCACAGCCGAGAAAAATGCTGAGTATGGAGAGAGGACAGGGTGTGAGGAGACGAGGGGGGGTGCAAATGACAAGGGAGAAAGAAGAGAAGAAAAAGAGAAGCAAGCGAATAGGGAGGAGCAGGAGGAGGAGAAGGACAGAGGAGGAAGGGGGGGTGGGAAAGCATTTCGGTGAAAATGCATCCTCAACACATTTGTAAGAGCTTAGCTGTGGAGTACAGAGAGTGGGGGAGAGAGAGGAGGAGGACGAGTAGGGGGATAAAGCCCCCCCAAAAACCCTGAACTCAGCAACGACCACAACTAAAACCTCCAATTAGAAAAGTTCTGAAGCTGATCCAATGCAATGAAACCACTGCTGACCACCTCCCTCTCCCCTCAACCTTTTTTAACACACAAAATAAAGAAAATACTTCACATCTCTTCCTGTTGACAAATCAAATCCCACAGAAGGGACAGGGGGATAGTCTTGCAAATAAGAGCTATTAATAATAAAACCAATACATCCACACTCAGACTTGGGGGAAAAAAATAAAATAAATTCAAGCATTTATTTTCCCCAAGGCTCATATTGCAACTCCCCGGGCAAACATTTCAGCGACAACTATCTGTCGGCTGACCGTCTTTCTCAACAAAAAAATTTCCACAACAAAAGTGGCGATGATAGAAGTTAACCGCCCTCTGGATGTCCTTGTGGGTTCAAGAATAATTTTATACTACCCTTTTTATTGATTACAGCAAAATGAAATTAAACATTCTTGATTGGGAGAAAAGTAACCTGACATATCCTCCTTCATTCAGGCCTTTTTCTTTTGTTCCCTGCATAAGAGACACGTTGATCCCTGTATGAGCCTTGATTCCTCCTTATCCGGTTGCCTGCTAGAGGCAAATATTTATCATTTTTCCAGTTGACTGTATTCATAACAC